GCAATGAGTTGTTTTCACATGATCATCATTCTTATTAATCACTGATTTATACAACACTTTCGTGAGCTTCTATACTTCGTATCTGGGTCTTTTAAGCTAATCAATTAAAATCACCATAAGCATCACGAATGCTGACTGTTTAGACCCTAAAATCTGGCTGAGCATGAACTCGCTTCTTAGCCTCTAGGGCTAATATTCATGAGCACAGAACGTACCAATTATCTGTGCCCAGGTGATATATTCCAGCATGCACCGGTATCAGATGAGAGCACACCTCTGGTGACAGGAATGGAGCAAAAAAAAAGGGGGGGGGGGGATTCTGCTGAAATCCACTGACCCTTTGCAGCTCCAAGCGATATCTTCTAAATGTGGAGTGGGAAAAGACAGAGTACCTATGACCATTAATGAGATGTACAGACCTGGGGGTGAGGGTGAGTTGGATAGAAATGCCAGCTGTGCAGCCTGGAGCTTCCCCCATCTATCAAGTCATGTCAGTAGAACATCTTACAGATGTGCAAACACTGACCCCCAGCTCCTCCGACCCCTCTCGCTTCCTGTCTCTCACTACCTTCCTATTGCTTACAGGGCATCTGAGAGCACAGGAGAGATAGAGACCCTCTCTAAAAGACTTCAGGTCACCCTGAGCCTGTGTTTTGGTCACTAATAGTGCTGTCATTTGCAAAATTAATTCTGAATCTCATTCAATTAATTCATGCCTCAGTCCTCCGGAGGTTAACATGATTAAAAGAAATGCCAAGAGCCTGGCCCCAAGAATATGAATGAGTCCAACTCTCAGTCTGTGGCCACCCCTACCTCCCTCAAATGCTAAAGCAGCCAGATAAATACACATCAGCTCTTGTGTGCTTTCTTGTTCAGCACAAAGGGAGCTCATGACACGGTGAAGTAAGAAGCACAATAAGGAACCCGAGTTATAAAAGAGAAATAAAGTTCAAGACACAGCCTCCTGCTCACACTGACTCTGACAAACCTAGGGCTGCCATCAGCCAGCTGGTGGGACAGTCAAGGCCTACTCTGGCCAATGTTAAGTTTGCCTCACCTTCCTTTTTGAGGTTGACTACTCAAGCCTGGATAATTAGTACCAGACAAATTCAAAACTGCATGAACTTTCTCCCTAAAACAAGAGAATATTGGCCTCTCTGTTTATTTACCACCCAAAAAGCAAACACAGCTCCACTTAAAATTATTTTCTGTTCAGTTTATTCTGTAGCCCAGAGGGCTCTCTGTTAAATTGTTGCAGACCTGCTAGGAATTAAACTCAAGATCAAACATACATACATACATACATACATACATACACACACACAAACACACAAACACACAAACACACATATGTATGTATATTTGTGTGTGTGTGTGTGTGTGTGTGTTAGGTAAGCACTCTACCACTGAGCTACATCAGCATTTTTTAATGTTTGTTTGGAATAATATCTTAGTAAGTAGACCGTTCTGGTCTTGAAGCTACAGTCTTCCTACTTCAACCTCCTAAGTTGCTTCATGTGGAGGTGGGCCACTTAGGCCTAAGTGTCTAGAACTAAGCAAATTTTAAACACATATGAACTTTCTCCTTAAAGCAAGAAAATTACAGGCATGCACCACTGTGCCCTGCTACATTTCTAAAATAAAAAAATTAGATATAGGTTCATAGTCAAATGTAGTCTTAAGCTTTCATAAAACACAACTTCTAAAAATTTCAGACCAAGTCTTAATCTAAATGAGCTTCCTCCAAAAGAAAAGATATCAATTCATAATTGAATGTTAGCTGGCATAAATGGGTGACCTGACTTCAGGGTTAAGGCAGAGGCCGAGGGATTAATGGCTGTCTATGGCCTTTATTACTTGTTCTTCTGAACCTGTTATTTCTGTTGGAGAGGAAAGATACAGATACATCAGATACAGACATTCATTCTTAAAAATTCATCACTCTGTTTACAATGATAGTCATTATAATTAGGAAAAAGTTTAAAGACACTTGCAGGGTATTTGTCATAATTCATAACCTCTCTGGATGTTTTAACTTTGCACAGTGAGCTTATGAATTTAAAGAATGCTGTTCTGCTGAGTGTCAATGCTGCAGATAATGCCAATAAAATTATCCAAGGCTTGAGGTTAATATTTCCATTTTGGCCAAGTGTCAAGAATGGCATATACAGCTTGATCACACTAGCCCTGGTTGTCCTGGGAATACTTTTATTCCTGCCCATCATGTGAAAGCTTGTCTTTAACAACATCAACATGTTAGCAGCCAAAGTACATGACTTAAAACTGAAAATGGATCCCCAGACAGAGTTATTAATCTAACAGGCTGGCAAGCCAAGGACAGGTAAGATTCTGCAGAGAGTCTTACCAACCTAAGACAAAAGTGCATTGCTTTTGATAATGCATATTCCACGAAGAGTAAGGAAGGCATTCTTGTCAGAACAACCTAAGACAGGCTCAGTCTTGTTTATGAAATAAAAAAAGGGGGAGCTGTAGAGAGCTTATGGGGCCGCTTGGCAGGAATCTGACATTGGCCAAGAACAAGGAAGTGGGCTTCAGGCAGGAATCTGACATTAGGCAAGAACAAAGTAATCTCAGGCAGGAACCTAAATATTAGGCTAGAACAAAGAAGTAATTTCAGGTAGGAATCTAAATATTAGGCTAGAACAAAGAAGTAGGCTTCGGGCATGAAAATGACTTTCGGCTAGGACAAGGAAGTAGACGCAGATATTTTGATCTTCCTGATAAGCCTTTAGAAATAGTGATCACAGGAGTGATCACAGAACTTTGTTTACTGCCTTGCTTGTTCTTTGACTATTTGTGTTTATTGTCTTGCTTGTTCCTTGACTATTTGCATTTATTGTATTGCTAGTTCCTCAACTTAGAACTGACCTTAATACTTGCATGTAATCAAAATGGAATAAAAGCCAAAAGGAGGAGGAGGGATGGAATTTATGGGGGTGGGGGAAGAATAAGGAAAGGGGATAACATCTGAAACGTAAATAAATAAAATATCCAATAAAAAATAATTCATCAATCTGGAGGTAAATATCCAGCATCATGCTGAACCCAGGAACAGAAATAAACACAGCAACAGCACTCTAGGCACCAAAACACCTTGCTGCACTGCTACCCCTGCAATTGCCTAAATGGGTTCTGGGAGAAACTTTGATCCAAGCATGGGGGATGAACCTCACATCGCTTAGGAGGCAAGAGAGAATGCCTAGCCTCTTGAGGTAAGAATAGGCCTTGAGCAGCATACACAGGCTAGTCAAATCCTCCTCACCCCTTCTTGTACATATATAGCAGAGGACTGCCTAGTCTGGCCTCAGTGGGAGATGATGGCCCTAATCCTGTAAAGACTTGAGGCCCCAAGGAAGGGAGATGCTTGGGAAGGTGGGGAGCACCTTCTCAGAGGCAAGGGGAGAAGGAATGGGATCAGGAACTGTGGGAGGGGCACCTAGAGTGGGGGGCAACAGCTGGAATGTAAATAAATTAATTAATTTTTTAAATGGGCCTTGAGAAAGAAGACAGTATCTTCCTAATTCCTCAAGCCCTAGAAGACCTGAGTGGCCTTTATTTAAATTAATTTGCATGTGCTATAGAATAATGATTGAGAAATAATCTCCTTGAATAATAATGTCATTTGTCCACAAGTCTTTTCCTATGGCTTCATGGGAACTAAGGATGGAGTGTTGGGATCCAGATTTTAGCTAGTCACTTCACTTCATAATCCTTGTATTAGCTCAATTTCTGTTGCTATAACAAAATATTTGAGGCTGAGTTATGTTAAAGAAGTTTATTTGGCTTGTAGCTTTGAAAGATGAAAGGCCAAGATCGGGGGACCCCATGGGACCCAGCAGAAATACATGCAAGAGTGATTATCTGGTAACAGAAAGCCAGAGACTGGGAAGTTCAGTTTTGCTCTCTTTCTAACAACTCACTCACATGGGACTCACCAGGGTCTGAGGTGAACCACCTTGTCCCTTCCAAGAGCAATGTCCCCACAACAACCTAATTACTTCAGTTCTCATGTTGCTACTGAGTACCCGGAAACCTGCACAAATCTTAAGGAAACACTCAAACCACAGATGTCCCCAGGCACAGAGTTACTTCACCTTTCTAACACCTTAGTCTACAGCTGGTATAACCCACATGACAAAGCCTTGTGGAGAGCAGTCTGGACCAATCAGCAACATCTGGAGGAGTCAGTTGGCTGGAGAGTTAACACTGAAGAGGCCTTGTAGTCAGCCAGATGTTGCTATGAGTAGCTTGGCAGAAGCGGAGGCCTCTTTGTTCTTTGGCCTGGTGACTTTGTGTGCAACTCTGATTTGGCCAGTTCAGTCCTAAATATCAAGCTCTACTCCTTCTTGCAAGATGTCACTCCCAAAAGGCATCAGAGAACAACAGACTTACAGACAGACTTACAGACATACCAAAAGCGTGAGGAAGGGACCGTGCCAAGCACCTCGTTACTCACCATTTATAATAGTGTGCTCCACCCCTGTTCTCCCTATATTCCCTCTCAGCTATGATGAACTGATAGTGCCTTCTTCTTTTTTATCTCAACCTCTTGTAACATTCCTGTCCCCAGCTCTCTGCGGCCTGAAGCTTCTTGCTAAGTGTCAGCTGCCTCCCTCTTTCTATAAAACTGTATTCACCCTAGAAACCTTGTTTCCCCACACCTCCATCAACAGTAATCAACTGTGCACTGCTGGAGGCTGGGTTCCCACTTAGAGGCTTAGTAAGGATACCCTTGCCTACCGTGTCTCCCCCCACTAAGAACTCAAGGAGTTTTTGTTTAGAGAATAAATTTGTCTCAAGGAAAGACATGAGTGAGGTCTGAAAAGGAGTGGGTAGGGTGGTCAGAGCACCATTTTTGACCCTCAGACTCCATGGTGTTCTGAGGGCACTGTACCAAAGAACCCAAGCTTTTCTTTGCTCCCATGTCTTATGAGAGTTGAGATGCCAAAGTTTTGTTTCTTGTCCAACCCTCTGCACAGGGATCCGGATGCTGGACCAGCCCTTTATGACAGACATCATCGAGGCCTCCTCCATCAGCCACATGCCTCAAATGATTGATATCTACAGTGCAAGTTGGGGCCCCACAGACAACGGGAAGACAGTTGATGGGCCCCGAGAGCTCACGCTCCAGGCCATGGCTGATGGTGTGAACAAGGTAAAGACTTTCCTGTCACCACAAGGCCTGGGTCCACCAATGAGGTAGGATATGGAGGCTAAAGTGGTGGTGGCATACAGTGGATGGAGTGGCAGGATCACATAGAAGTGGATCTGTGTTCCTATAGACCTATATGTTAGTTTAGATCCTGTAGAAGATAGGCACAGAGTTGGGTTTAGTGGTGTAAGAAGTACATGATAAAGAATTCCTAGAGATTACATTACAGGGCAGGGGTCACCTAGGCAGGACATGAGCCAGGCTCGAGGATCAGAGCACTCCCGGGTCAAGATTTCATTCCAGTTCCTAATACCTGAGAAGCTCTCAGCAAGTGATTTCACCCCGCCTAGCCTGCTTTGCTGCCCATGAAATAGTCATACATGGACTACTTCAAGGAAATGCCAACAGCCCACAGAAAATGCCCACAGTCCCATGCACAGCTGACCCTTAGTCAACTACCCAAGACTTCATGACACAAACACAGCCTCTGCTGATGTGGGGCCTATGGTTCAGGAATTCAGAAAGGGCACATTGGGGGTGGCCTGACTTTTCTCCTCTAGGGGGCCTGAAGTGCAGAAGTACTTGTGATTTGAGCATCAGTCTCAGCCCAGCCTGCCTACTCTAGCCAGTGCTTCATTTGAACAAGAGTCTATCAGGAGCTGAGGAATATTGCTGTTGATGACAGGACTTGTAACCCTAAGATACTAAAACCCTAAAATAGCACTTTAAACACACATGCTAAACAGAAAGGGGAGGGAATAACAGGCTCATATGAGTGTTTGGTGACCAAGCTGTATGCCCTGCTTATCTCTATACTGTAGGAGCAGACATCCATGTAGTTCAGCTGAAGAAACATCTTTTGAGGAGGCAGGGATGACCAGGGCAGTAAGGTGATTCAGGCAGGTCCTCAGATAGCCAAAGGAGAGTTGGGCTGCCTGGGCTCCCGGTGGCTGTAAGATGTGTGGAAACCCACACTAGGGCTCTGAAATCCAAATCCTAGGCTATCCCCACCCTATCTGTTCTCCCTGGCTTTAGATATCACTCTCTCTCTCTCTCTCTCTCTCTCTCTCTCTCTCTCTCTCTCTCTC